TACTCTAATTTTAAAAAATTGTCTTGATGATTGAACCCACTATTGCGTAAACTCAAACCTACACACATCTTCAGGGGTAAATTACATAATAGCTCATCAGGTTTGAGATCTATTACAACCTCATGCATCATCTTTAAAACATTTGAATTTCATACCTCAAGTTCTATTTTATTTAAAAATAATACATTCGTTACATTTTTCATCCATTGATCTGTTAAGTATTGACGCGGCTACCACATTTATACCATGTGGTAGCCAAATGTATGCCACGTGGCAAATAATTTTTTTTTTAAAACCTTAATCTTCTAAATTTACAAAAAAAAAATTCTAGATCCCCCCGCCCCCCCCCCACCCCCACCCAAAAGCCCTCGTACCTGAACCCTTAACCAAAAAAAAATCTCTGAAACCCGATCCCATTATCCCCCCCTCTGCAACCTTGAACCAAAAAAAAAAAAAAAAACACCTCTGAAACCCCGATCCGTTACCACCCCCTCCGCCGCAAAAACCCAGTTCCCATTATTCAAACCCCAGATCCCATTAATCCCCTACCAGATCGACCACCACCATCAAGCATCAGACCACCAGCCACCGATCTGTCCAACGCCTCGAACCAGTCTCGCCACCTGCTTGAATCTCCCGCGCTAACCCATCACCCAGATCCGACTGACCCAGGATTACATGCCCGCTGCTCCATCGCCATCCTTGTTGCCCCGTTTCTGTCCCGCATCACTGGAATCGGTTCTCACCGCCGCCGTCCACTATCACCCGTTGTCAGACTCGCCCTGAACTTTGCCGTGTTTCGTTTCCGCACCGACTAGTCTCATACCCACAGTCGATTCCCATGAGTTGGATTTGTCGAACCACTGCAACCCGGCCGCTGCTAGTTTGAAAACCTTATTCTTGCTGTTTTTGTTTTTCCAATGATTGCACTGGAATTCCAATGCAGTCTAATGATTGTTGCACTAGTTTGCAGATGCACAGGAGAGAAGGGAAGAAGGTTCAAGAAAAAAAATAGCTATGAAACCCGATCCCATCATCCCCCCGGCAACCTTGAACCAAAAAAAAAAAACACCTCTGAAACCCCGATCCATTACCACCCCCCCAAACAAAAAAACCCAGATAGCATACCTGGCGAAGTCCGACGGTCCGCACCCATCCTCCACCTTTTTCTCTGCACCCAGCTCCACCTCCGCCGTGCACCCATCTTCCACTACCCCAACCTGCAACCCAGAAAGAAAAAGAAAAAAGCGCACCCACCCTCACACGCATCTACTTCCCTCATCTACACACCTCACTCCTTAAATCCACTCATTGGAGAAGAAGGGATCTGGGTTGCAGGGAAAGGGAGATGAGTTTTTTTTTTCTTTTCTTTTATGGGTTGCAGGTAGTGGGAGCGGAGGAAGAGGTGGATGATGGGGGCATGGTGGGTTTGGGGAAGATGGGAGGGGGAAGAAAGTTAAAAAAAATTATTTTTTTTGTCACGTGGTACAAACGTGGTAGTCACGTCATCACTTAACGGATCAATGGATGAAAAATGTAACAGATGTATTATTTTGAAATAAAATAGTACTTGAAGTATAAAATGAAATGTTTTAAAGATGTTGTATAGGGTTGTAATAGATCTCAAACCTGAGAGGCTACTACGTAATTTACCTCATCTCTCTCAAATTGGAAGCAGACTCACCTTAAGCCCAAAATCCAAAAGCTTGAAACCTTACGCTGTCATTGAAACCTAGTGTCATCGCTCTCCTAGCACCACCGTACCAACTAACCCTAAACAATCCACAACCCACCAGTGATTACAGTGATTATACCGTAGAGCTGAGGGAATCTCGTGGTTCGAAATGAAGGATTTGAAGGCTGAAAATGACTTGGGGAAAAAGGGAGGATCCCAAACAAATGAGCATTCCTTGTAAACACAAAGGCAACAAATAGAAACCAAAGAGATACCACGTCGTTGTAGTGCAACCTCGAGGAAAGTTTATCATGAAAAAATGCCAACCCAAAATATATAGTCGGGGTGGAACGAAATGCTGTCAAATAAGTTTTGCCCAAGCACAATCACCATGCCTCCTTCAAATTAGATCATAACGAAAAGAGAAGAAAATTTTCTCATAAAGATATGGTTCCCAAATCAATTGGTCATTAGTAGTTACAAGAGTAAAGGATGATACAAAATTTTCTTTGCAATAGACAAGAATAAATCTATAAAATAATCCAACAGTGACCAACTTTAAGCTCGAATAACATTTGAAATCCGAAGAAAAACTATATGAGAATGATCAAAGATAATGAAGGGCTAATAATTAGCTCATCCAACCATTTATCAAAAGAAAAAGAAAACTTACCTCCCATCTCCAAAAATTCAATAGTTATTGATATTCAAAACAGATAAAGCATACTTCAAACCAGGCCACATAGATGATTGCCAATAAACATCTTATTATTTGTAAGGCATGAGAGGAAAACACTGGTCGATAAAAGAACCTCATAAAGAAGTGATTGTAGCTAAGTCACAAAGCCGTGAAGTTCAAAGTAGCTAAGTCACAAAAACCAAGACCACCTTCAATTTTAGGCCCACCACACACTATATTCCATTTAATAGTTACCAATTTGTGGGAAACCAAATCTTTGGACCAAAATATAGTTCCATGCACAAGTAGAGAAATCTTCAAAAACAAGTTGGTCATTGATATACTGAGAAACTATGCAAAAATAAACTTTGATAAACATACTGCACTAATTAAACTTTTGATTAGAAATATCAAATATGTAATTAGACTCTAACTAGACCACTTTTCTTCTTCTTGTTGCTAACCCTACACATTACATATTGCTAATTGGTAATTACACATGCACCCTTTAATTTATGTATTAAAAAAATGGTGACATTGATACCCTAACCAGAGAAAATATAATATATAAGTAGAAAATCCAAACTCCATGATCGGTTAATATCCAACCTTGATGGGATATCACATTCATTCCACTTCTGTACTGCTGTTGGATGAAGGTTCATCTGGTTAAATTGGTATTCAAACAGTATTGGAATCAATTATGCCAAGATATTTTCATAAAATATCCTTTCGACGTGCAAGATGCCAAGAACGTAGGTGGAATCAACGTGCAAAAGAATTTGTGTGGAGCTGGAATCGACGTGCAAGAACGTGTATGGAGAGGTTTATAATTTTGTAAAATGAGTTTAGTTGAGTACTATTGCGCTGATGTTGGACAAGAATGAGGATCATTATCGTATCCTCAAATAATGTCCATTCATCGTACATCGTGTGACCATAAATTATTTTAAATATTTTTATATAAAATTAAATATGAATAGTACTTGACGAAAACCGGCCAAACGATGTACGATGAATGTATTCAATTTGAAGATCTTTAGTATCCTCACAAAGAGGATCCTGAGAGGATTCATTCGTTGGATAAATGGGCATGTGGATTCAAAACAAATTTTTCATACCAAAATTTTAAAGGAAAACTGATGAAAATGGTTTAAAAACTTTGAGTTTTAACGATCAAGACAAAATAAAGGGTAAAGTAAATAGTTCCAGGATTGACTTTTTAGTGTAAAAATATGATTTTTTGTTAAAGTGAATAGTACCGAAAGATTTTCGTTAAAGTTCCTAAATTTTAAATTATGTGACGTGTCACTAATAGGAAATAAGCATGATAATTAATATTTAAGTAATAATCCAATCGTACGACCATGTTATATGATTTATGAAATTTAGTCTAAATATTTGGTCTCTATAACATTATCCGAAGAGACTACCTTCATAAAATCAGATGTCTAATTTTTTTACTTTTCTTTTTTAGAAACGTTAAGGAGACTTTCTATGAACATTGTCACCTCATATTTTTTGTACAATGTTTTATTCTATTGAAGCAAAAGTTGACTTTAAGGGAGTCTCCTTAGACCATCTCCAAATGAGATATCAAATCCTAGGTGAAATGTCATGCAATCAAATTTGAAGGTACGAAAAAGTTTCAATCGATATGTCAATCCTACCTGAATTGACGTAAGAATTTTCTACTGCCAAATTTGACATATAGAACAGGTGCTGTCAATTAATTTTTTAAATATATGATTGTGTGGGTCTCTTTACTTCACCAATTGTAGATCTTGAAAGTTTATTTTAATTGATTTTTTTTATATAAAATTGGATTCTACAAATAGCATTTATAACAAAAAAATAATATGAGTTGAAGGAAGATAAAATTGAACATTACCACATTAGCCATTAAAATAACATTTAATATTTATCTATCGATATTTCCATTAGAGATGCTCTTAACCGTTTCTCTCCATTTCCATGAAAAGTTACAAGGCTGAAACTTGCATGCATGAGGCTGCAGATATGCCATAGTCCTTTAATGGGCTCGAGACAACTTTGTTTGGGCACGATGATGATGATGACAAATAACAAAAAGATGAGATTGAAAATTTTCATGGAAGTACACTTTTTAGTTAAAGGTAGACGAGAAAAATATAAGTAGGCTTTTTAAAAAATGAGATTGTTTATGAACTTTTTATTGCTTTATATTTTTTTACTTAATATTTCTTAATATTTGCATAAAAATTGACGTTAAATTGTGAGGTGATATATAATTCATAAAGAATCTCATTTAAAAAAAAAATCCCTTTTAACATTTCAAACAAATCTCATTGATTTTTTACCTTGTCACGTGTTATCTCCCATCTGGCAAACCTTCTCCATCAGACTATGACTTATCTCCCAACAAATTATTATAATTTTTTTTCCATGTGTTTGCGTGAAGACAATTCAATTATATATAAAAAGAAATTTTAACAAAAAGCTTCAAATACTGTTTATTTTAACGAAAAACTACATTTTTACATTAAAAATCAATCATGGTACTATTCACTTTACTTTTATTTTGTTCTTATCGTTAAAACTCAAAGTTTTCAAGCTCTTTTCATTAGTTTTCCTTATATAGAAACTCATTCAACAACAAAAATTTCCAACACCCAGAAGAGAAAAATAAAAATCCATAACGCCAAACCCTAGACCAACCAACCATGGCTTCTGAAACTTACCAACCCAAAAATGTATGTGTGATTGGAGCTGGACCCTCGGGGCTTGTAGCTGCAAGGGAGCTGAGGAAAGAAGGTCACAGGGTGGTGGTGTTGGAACAAAACCATGAGGTGGGAGGGCAGTGGCTCTACGACCCAAATGTGGAGGGAGAGGATCCCTTAGGAAGGTCACCTACCCTAAAAGTGCATAGCAGTCTTTACTCCTCTTTGAGGATAATTTCTCCAAGAGAGAGCATGGGGTTCACTGACTTCCCATTTGCAGTCAAGAAAGGTAGGGACATGAGGAGGTTTCCTGGCCATACGGAGCTTCTTTTGTACCTCAAGGATTTTTGTGATTGGTTTGGATTGAGGGAGTTGATAAGGTTCAATACGAGGGTTTCATATGTGGGGATGTTGGATGGAGATCATGTAGTTGGTTGCAAAGATCTGAAATGGGTTGTGAGGAGTATGGAGAAGAAGGCTGAGATTTTCGTGGAGGAGGTGTTTGATGCGGTGGTTGTGGCCTCCGGCCATTACTCTAACCCAAGGTTACCGTCCATTAAAGGTACTTACTACTTGATTAATTTCCTTAGTTTCATGGCTCATGTCTAACAAGGATTCCGTTTTGACACTATTTTTGACCAATCATGCACTGACATGTGTTTCAACTTTTTCATATGAGAATGTAAAATGTCCAAGAGAATAATAATCACGTATTTAATCATAATTATATGTGGTTTCAATTTTGTTTTTCTTTTTCTCTATTTCCATTTTTTTTTCTTTTTAATTGCGGTGGGTTCAATTTGGTCATGTTTAGGAATGGATGCATGGAAGAGGAAGCAAATGCACAGTCACATCTATAGGGTTCCGGAGCCATTTCGTGATGAGGCAAGGCAATATATAGTTAATGCTAAATGTTAGCTTGATGTATATTGGTGGCTTATTTCCTGATAACTTAAGAGTGTTTGGAGAATTGTACTTGTCTAACATAAGTTTATAAAGATCAACGAAACTTTCTAGCACAAAAGAGATGAAGTGATCCTTTTGCTCATTTGCAGGTTGTGGTGGTGGTTGCGAATTCACTAAGTGGACAAGATATATCAATAGACCTAGTGGCTGTGGCCAAGGCAATCTATCTTAGTGCCAGATCGCTTGACATATCTAAGGGCTTGTCCAAAGTCATTTCCAAACACGAAAACTTGCACCTTCGTCCCCAGGTACAAGAAATTAGCTTCTATAAGTCTAGAATTAGATTTTAAGCAAATATAAAAACTATGTCCAATACAAATGTCTTTTGTGTGACATTTAAATGCAACCAAATGCAGATAGAGTCGCTTCAAGAAGATGGGAAAGTATTATTTGTGGACGGTTCTTGGATCACTGCAGACACTATCATATATTGTACTGGGTAAATTTTCAACCTAATATCATTTACACAATGGAAATGTCATTATAAATAAATTAACAACATTTTAAATTAGTCTTGCATTGTTATGTAACGTGATTGATCTAAAATACTGGACATCTTTCCTTCTGATCGAACTATGTACTTGCTTTGGAAAGTGATTGGTTAACCATAGTCTTTTGAGTTTTGACTGAAAGATTTTGTGTGGGTCCCACACTAAAATTGGAACCACACCAAGATGTATTCCTTTGAAATAGTTTATAAACTAATTGTTCCAAGTGGGATGTGTTCAGGTATTCATACACGTTCTCCTTTCTTGACACCAAAGGAATAGTAACTGTGGATGATAACAGAGTGGGCCCCTTGTATGAGCACACCTTCCCTCCATCACTTGCTCCCTCTTTATCTTTTGTAGGCATTCCAAAAAAGGTAACTAAAACATTTCTAATTTTAGAATGTATAGAATGTTTTGAGGTATAGGGAAGGTGAGTCTTGGTGTAATGAAAAAAGTTGTTCTTTTGTAATTGAAAAGTAACAGGTTAAGTCGTAGAAGCAGTCTTTTTATAAAGTAAAGATAAGACTGCTACGTTTTTCTCGACTCTCAAAAAACAGGGAGCCTTGTTGATTAGGGATCACCTTTTTTTTAGTATGCTTTGAGCCTTTGAGGTATAGATTTTTGTATTAAAGATAATACAGTGATCAAAATTTAACTGCAAAAAATCTCAAATTATAGAATGCTTCGGAGCGTAATAGATTATTCATTCTATTTTAATGAAAAATGATTAATTAATCGATAAATCTGATCTAGGTCATAGGGTTCCTGTTCTTTGAGTCACAAGCAAAATGGATAGCTCAACTGCTCTCTGGGAAAACAACACTGCCATCAAGGGATGACATGATGCAGTCCATCAAAGAGTTCTACCACTCAAGGGAGGTTGCTGGCATTCCAAAACATGACACCCACGGCATCGGCGACTTCGAGGTAAACTTCAGTGCAACAAAATTACATGCATCATATTTACTGTTCACGTGACTTGTAAAGCCGTTGTAGCTTACATTCTAAGGTCTCTACCTTTCTTGTTTTGCTTGTTGCAGTATTGTGATAGATATGGAGATCACTCGGGGTTCCCACATTTGGAAGAATGGAGGAAAGAGCTTTGCTATTCAGCACAAATACATGCCGACGCCGACTTAACATTCAGGGATTCGTGCGATGATCATGAGCTGCTTCAAAAGGCTTTTCAAAGTCCATATTTTGCTCAATTTCGGCCTCAAGATTTAGATTTCCTCTGAAATAACCCTACAAATGTTATTTTGTGATAGTTTTGAAAGAATTGTTTGTATTGAAAATGTGTAAGGTTACAAGAAAGAGAACTTATACAAGTGGAGAAGGATGTCGTGAGTCACCCGATGAACATCACACACCATGCTTCACACACTAATATTCTAACACCCATACTTTACACATTAATATTCTAACACCCATACTTTACACATTAACCCATACCTATAACCCATACTTTGGATATTAGATATTCTACCCATACCTATAACCCATACTTTGGATATTAAATAATCTAACACTCCCCCTCAAACGAAGGCTAGTATATTCATCAAGCCAAGTTGGACCAAAAGAGTGTTGAATTGAACCCGAGACAATCCTTTGGTGAAGATGTCTGCTAGTTGATCTGTGCTCCGAACAAAAACAGGTTGAATGACATCAGATTGGGTTTTTTCTCGAACAAAATGACAGTCCATTTTCAATGTGTTTGGTTCTTTCATGAAATACAGGATTAGATGCAATGTAAATAGCAGCTTGGTTATCACAGAAAAGAGGCATAGGCAGTGTTCTCTTGAACCCTAAGTCGTTGAGCAAACCTTGCAGCCAAATTAACTCACAGGTAGTAGATGCCATGGCACGATATTCAGCTTCTGCACTTGATCGAGCCACCACACTTTGTTTTTTGCTTTTCCATGTCACCAGATTTCCACCAACAAATGTACAATATCCAGTAGTAGATCTTCGATCAATTTTGGAGCCACCCCAGTCTGCATCTGTGTAGCCAACAATGTGAGCATTTCCGATCTTCCTCATCACAATCCCAGTTCCAACAGTGCCTTTCAAGTAGCGCAAGATCCTTCGAACAGCTTGTAAGTGAATTGATCGAGGAGCATGCATGAACTGACTGACTAGGCTCACGGCATGCATGATATCAGGACGAGTAATGGTAAGGTAAATAAGTTTCCCTACCAATCTCTGGTATAAACCAACGTCTATCAGTAAATCTCCATCTAATCCAAGTTTCTCTTTGCAAGCTATTGGGGTTGCCACTGGTTTTGCCTCAAGCATTTTGGACTCTTGAAGTAAATCAAGTATGTACTTGCGTTGGTTCAAGAGCAAGCCTTTACTAGATGAAGCAACTTCAATGCCTAGAAAATACTTCAGAGTTCCTAGATCTTTAAATTGCAAACTTTTTGTGAAGAAAGCCCTTAAGTCGCTGAATTTCTGTCAAACTATCACCAGTCACAATGAGATCATCGACATAGATGAGAACGACAAGTTTACCTGCTGAACTATCTCGCACAAATAGTGAGGAATCTGCATTGCTCCTTTTAAAACCAATGTTCTCTAACACAGAACTTAACTTGGCATACCAAGCTCGAGGAGATTGTTTGAGGCCATAAATGGCCTTGTGTAACTTGCAAACCATGCCCTCTTCTTCTTGTGGATGTCCCGGAGGCAACTGCATGTACACATCTTCTTTAAGTTCTCCATGCAGGAAGGCATTCTTAACATCCATTTGGTATAGGGGCCAATCATGGTTGACAGCAACCGAGAGAAGCACTCTTACCGAGTTCATCTTTGCCACAGGAGCAAAGGTTTCCTTGTAATCAATGCCATAAGTTTGAGTAAAACCTCTAGCCACCAATCTAGCTTTGTGTGTCTCTCCACTGAACCATCACTCTTAAATTTGGTTTTATACACCCATCGACACCCCACAGCTCTCATCCCCTTAGATAGCTTGGTGATGCTCCAAGTTTTGTTTTCATTTAGAGCTCTAAGCTCCTCATCCATAGCTGTTTGCCAGATCAATTGAGAGTTAGCTTCTTGGAATGAGCTTGGTTCAGATGAGGCTGAAATTTTGCTTAGGAAAGCAGCATGAGACGAAGATACTCTTGAGTATTCAAGATATTTTTCTATAGGATGTCTTGAGGCATAACTTACATAATCTTTAAACCAAGTTGGCTTACCCCGATTTCTACTAGGGTTTCTCCTTGGAGTGATCACTTCAGGAGTAATAGCAAGGTTCTCCTCGGACGAAAATTTGATTTTGTTCAGTGTCTTCAGTTGATTCATTATCAACAAAGTATGTCAGATGATGAATTACACTCAACTGGATCAATCGAAATTTCATTGTTGCTTGGTTGATCTGGAGCTGAAAAATGATGAGGCAGTGCATTGATTTCCATAATTGCCGTGAGGATTTGATCAAGAAAGTCCTCCTCCCCCAGAAGATCTTCACCCCTGGTACTAGCAAAAAAAAGGAGTTTTCTCGTCAAAAACCACATCTCTAGACACCAAAAGTTTCCTGCGCTTTGGGTCATAGCACTTATATCCCTTTTGAACAGATGAGTACCCTAAGAACAAACACCTTACAGCTCTAGGGTCCAATTTATCTCGATGCAAGGTTTGAATATGAACAAAGCAAACACATCCAAACACTCGAAGGTGAGACAAGTTAATTTTCCTGCCATTAAGTGTTTCAAGAGGTGCCTTGAATTTGAGAACCTTGCTTGGAAGCCTATTAATTACATATGCAGCAGTAAGAACCCCATGAGACCAGAATTTCTTAGGTACACTCATTTGAAGCATAAGTGATCGAGTTTTCTCCAGTAGATCACGGTTCTTCCTTTCTGCTACTCCGTTTTGTTGCGGAGTACCAACACAGCTCGTTTGGTGAATTATTCCATGACAAGTTAGATATTGAGTAAAAAGCATTAGACATATACTCAGTACCATTGTCTGACCTTAAGACTTTAAGTTGGGTTGAGAACTGATTTGTAACAAGACTGTGAAATTCTTGGAACACATTAATAACTTCATCTTTTGATTTCAACAAATACAACCAGGTACATCTTGAGAAATCATCCACAAAGGTGACAAAGTATCTAAAACCATCAAAAGAAACCAAGGGTGCAGGTCCCCAAACATCAGAGTGCACAATCTCAAAAGGTTTACATGACTTGGTTGATGAGACATCAAAAGGCAACCTCGTCTGTTTTGAAAAAATGGCAAAACTTCACAATCTTGAGTCATCACATTCTCTGAAGTTTTGAAGAGATGTGATTGCACAAGATTAGAGGGATGCCCTAATCGTCTATGCCATAATAGATGATTCTTCAAAAAACCAACTTGAAGACCTCTAGCTTCAACAGGTTGCAATGAAAGCATATATAGAGGCCATCTTTATACATGCCTTCACCAATCTTCTTCTTCGTGATACGATCCTGGAAAATCACATTGAATGGCGAGAATATAACATCACAGTTTAAGGAATTTGTCAACCTTCCTACTGACAGAAGCTGAAATGGAAAGGAGGGCACATATAGAGCAGTTGATTCAACATTAGTATCAATTAACTTGACTTTCCCTTCACCCAAAACTGATACACCAGTTCCATTAGCAACAGAGACAAATTGCGGAATAACTGCCTCTTTAAAGTCATGCATATATCTTTTTATATTTGTAATGTGATCAGTCGCTCCAGAGTCTATTATCCAAACATTTGCAAGTTTTCTGGAAGCAAGTGCAGCACTAAATGAGTTTAGAATACCTGACATATCAACGGAAGATGACACCTTTGTCTGAAGAAATTTTGCGAACTGCTCAAATAATTCAGTGGTGCTAGCTTCACTGTTTCCTTTATGAAGATTGCTTTCATCTTTCTTCTGAGTGAAGGAAGTGAACTCACTCAAGAGAGCTGAGGGATTAGATGTGAAGTTCCCAACAGTTGAGGCAGTCTGCAAGCGAGGGACTTGATTTGCACTGCGACCAGGTTTGGTTTGTTTGGAAAAGTTAGGCTTAAGGTGTGGATACAACACCCAACAAGTGTCTCTGAGATGATTCTTCTGTCCACAATGACTGCATTGCATTTCTCCTTTCTTTCCTTTGAAATTTTTTCCTTCAAACCTTCTGTCACTTGCAACGAAAGCTCTAGACTCAGGATCACCAACCTTAGTACTCATAACTTTCCTTCTTGCTTCTTCTCGTTGAACGATAGTGCACACAGTATTGAGAGATGGTAGTTCAACACTCATCAATATGTGGCTTCGCAGGTCCTCATAGGTAGAGTCAAGACTGGATAAAAGCTGAAAGACCTTGTCTTCTTCAGCCTGCTTAAGAAGGATTGCTGGGTCTGTAGTGTGAGGTCGATAGAGATTCAGCTCATTCCACATAGACTTCAGTCTTCCCAAGTGCTCGATAAAAGTCTTTCCATCTTGATTCAAAACAGAAAGACTCTTCTGCAGCTCAAATATCCTGGCTGCATTATTTTGATTTCCATACATCTCCTTGACAGCCTTCCACAGATCAAAAGCTGATTCTGAAAAGCTGAAAATTTCTGATACCTTTGAGCCCATTGAGTTGAGCAACCAGGACATGACGAGCTGATCCTTGCAGAACCATTCTTCATACTTAGAATCACCAACCTTGGGAGGTACGATAGTTCCATTGATGAAACCAAGCTTAGATCTTCCTCCAAGAGCTAAAGTAATAGCTCTTGACCAAGGAAGATAATTAAACTCAGTTAGGAGTATGGAACAAAGACGTTGATTGGGATTTCCATCAGCTTCACTTGAAGAAACTGATGAAGAACCAAGGATGTTCTCGGATGAAGCAGCAAGTATATTTTCTTCTTCCATTTCAAAAGATTTCAGAGAACAGGTTCTTTAGGAAGCCTGCTCTGATACCATGTGATAGTTTTGAAAGAATTGTTTGTATTGAAAATGTGTAAGGTTACAAGAAAGAGAACTTATACAAGTGGAGAAGGATGTCGTGAGTCACCCGATGAACATCACACACCATGCTTCACACACTAATATTCTAACACCCATACTTTACACATTAATATTCTAACACCCATACTTTACACATTAACCCATACCTATAACCCATACTTTGGATATTAGATATTCTACCCATACCTATAACCCATACTTTGGATATTAAATAATCTAACATATTTATTTGAATGTGGTTCAATATTCTAACGAATTAGGGTGTTGGCTGGGTTTATACCAATGCGTTCCACATCAGAAAAGATATAAATTTTACCTCTCATAAAAGCACACATGAATCATTCTTTCCGGAATGCTTATTGCAATTGGGTTTTGATCATCTTTTTAGTCCAACCCAAAATACAAATGCATTCAGCCTTGGTTCATGGGTATGCTAGCAGTGGTTGGTTGCTATAGTTGTTTCCTATAATCTTTCGAACTTCAGTACGAGAAAACATGCACATTGATCTAACCGAGTGTCATAACTTACGTGTAATTTTCTTAATTAGGTAACGCGAGACATTTAGATTCAAGAAAGAAATCAAACATCTGACGTATCCTAATAACTAATCAATCCTCATCACTTGGATGATGTTAACATTCTAGCAAAAGCAATTTCAGAAGTTACATATTATGATTACAAAAACTA